ACACAAATATGTGTTATCAATATGTGTTATCAACAAATATGTTTTATCAATTCTATTAATGAAATACCCTTTTTTTTAACATTTTGAGATCTCAGAAATCAAAATGCAACTAACCACTAACAAAAGTTCTTAACTGCTGCCAATACGCACAGGAATTTGGTTATTGGTCTACTGGCTTGAGGAGATAACCATAAGTCCAAGATATTTCTATCAACAAACATTTAAGTATTATCTAATTGCTGTGTGAAAAACTTACACTGAAATATTTTGCTAATGTCAAGAAATTTCCTGCATGAAAATGTGAACAACATGGAAAATTTCTGGAGGCAATAAAGGACACTCTGTTAAGAAACAAGATATCACTAAATAGTACAAAAGGTAATACACTATGAAAAACAAGGAAATGGATGGCTCTGATCTAAAAGTTGTTTAGAAGAGTCAGATTCTGAATATAAAAACATTTCAGAAATACCTTAACCAATTTACTATCATTTATATTTCCCCTTTTGGCAAATGCCCAAGATAAAATACCTCTTCTAATTAATTTTGAAAGAGCTCCTTCAAAATATGCAAGCAAATGACAGAGCAGAGTGTCATATAGTTTAACTAGAAACTGTTTCTTACAACAACAAAAATAATTTCTCCTAGAAACAAGTCAAAAAAATTTAATGCTATCTCTCATCTAATAGTAGTCATAACATGGGATGTAACAGGCTACCAAGAACATAAATATTTTGTGTAGCAGACTGGGTAATATTAGTAGTCTTAAAAATATTCATCTTCTGACCTACAAATTCCAATTACAGGAACTGGTACAAGAAAATAATCAGAGATGCATGCAAAGCAGTTCAGCATAACATCATTTATACTTTAAGAAAACAAAAACCTATACATCCAATATAAGATTAAAGGACAACATACCAAAAAAATAATAAAATGTAATTATCCAAAATTGTAATACAAAGATAGTTCAATGATGACATAAAAGAAAAAATGCTGGTAACTAAAAAGAGAGATACACTAAACAAAACAGTAGATTGTCTTTTGTTTTTTAGAGGACACGGTCTCTCTATGTTGCCCAGGCTGCCCCTAAAATCATGAGCTCAAGATCTTCCCTCTCGAATAAGTGGATTATAGGAATGTACCACCATGCCCAGCATGGTGAAATAAACTCACTCAATATATTTACATTGTATAGATGTCCATAAGGAAAAAACTATAAAGGTTATATGATAGAACATTAATTAATTAATAATGGTTATCTCTACAAAGTAGAAGAAACAGATTATCTTTTCCCTCTTTATAATTTCCTCAAAATTTATCTTTCACTTTCGTTATATGCATAAAAGGAAACCTATGAAGTCTTTGAAATTATATCAGCAATTTCTAGCACTGTGTGATAATGAATATTTTATGTTCTTCATAAAATATTACTAAGTTATAGTAAAAAAATAAATACAAAACATTTTTAGGAAATTTCTGCAAGAAATGTTTTAAAAAAGGGAGAAAACTAAGAAGAAAAATAAGACCCAAGAATTGATTAATTAAACACAAAAAAAATATATATATATATTCAGGAGAAAAATTATTCAGCAGAGAAAACCCAGACTGAGACAAGAGGCTGCAGTCTCCAGAAAAGAGATGTTTGACAAAACACATGTGCCAATGAGTTAGTATATTTAAAATACTGAAAAAACTGAGAAAATTGAAAGACCAATAAATATAGACATGGGTTAATTAGAGGACTTGATATTGTTAAGATATGAGTTTTCCCCAGATTGGTCCATAGAGTCAAAGGAATTCCAAACGAAGTCCCAGGAAACATATTGAGGAAATTAATTATAAAATGATATATGGAGATGTACAGGGCCAAGAACAGTGATGGTTCTTAAACTCTCAGACATCAAGACCTGTTGTTATAAAACCACAATAATTAAAACCTAACATTAACAAAAATATTTCAAAAAATGCATCAATGGAATAAAGTCCAGAAAAAGACTTCTACATACATAGTCACCTAATTCACTACAAAATATCACTTTGATGCAGTGTAGGGTGTGGGTGAAGTGGTAGATTTTTCAGTATGTTTCCTCAACTGAATATTCATATAGAAAATGAAATCCTGACCCCAATCCCACACCACACACAAAAGTTTACTTCAGACCGACCAAAAACTAAATGTGAAAGACTAAAGAATAAAAATTCAAGAGCAGAGATTAGGGTAGGAAACAAAGAACACTGACTATAAAAGAAAATAAATTTATTTCATTAAATTAAGAAATTTTCATCAAATGAAACCATAACATATAAAAAAGCAAGCTACACAACATGACATTTCTGCCTGAGACTGAGAGATATCTGCAATACATATGCCTAACAAAGGAGTCATATCCAGAATATACCTTTAAAAAACCATAAATCAAAAAGAAAACAGCCGATAAGAGACTTGAACAGGAACTTCGTAACACAACTTACCTAAATGTCCTAGACATGAAAAGTTCCTCAACTTCATTACTCATCAGGAAAATGCAAATCAAACCTACAATTCCTTACTACCATATACTTACCAGAAAAGCCAAGATACAAAAACATGTATGAACCTTGAAAACTTAATGCTGAATTAAAGAAATCAAACACGTAAGAGTATACACTTCAAAATACCATTTAAGTTCAAAAAGCCTTAGAAGTCCAAAAACAACTATCCTGGTAAAAGAGTACTGGTTACCAATGAAAATTATGAGTATTGACTACTTCTAGGGCCCCAGAAATGTTCTATGTCATAAGTTGAGTAGTAGCTACATGACTGTTCACTTCACAAAGAAGTGTCAAACAATACTCTCAAGATTCATCCATTCTGCAGGACATGATGGTGCATTCCAGCAGTCCCAGCACTCTGGAGGCTGAAACAGAAGGATGGTAAGTTCCAGGCCAGCCTGGGCAACACAGCAAGATACTGGAGTGGGGGGCGGGGAGGGGGGACAGGACACACAACAACTCTCCCTCTCCATCTTCTTCCCCCACATCCTCTTGTTCCAGAAGAATGTACTATGAAAAGCTTTACTTTGTAGTATTATATTTTTAATAGCATATCATAGTCTCCACCCAGAACAACAATTTAAAAAAAAGCCTATCATGGACTTTCATTCCAATTTTATAAACATACATGTATTGTATATCTACCTATAAAAATATATCTATAAAGGGAATAATCACTGCCCCCTACTTATTAAAAGGGTTAAACCAGAAAGTATTTGTAAAGTACACAGTGTAAGTACACTGGGATCCAGTGCAAAGTAAGGATCCAATATATATTAGCTATCATCATTAATATTTATTATGTATGTACAGAAAGAAGGCTCAACAGAAATACTACGGATTATGTGAAGCAACTGATACATTATAAACACTCAACAACTACTTCTCAAATTAATGAGCTCTATCTACTTTTTAAGGAATAGATAATTTTAGGACTGACAAAAAAAAGACTGACAAAGCAAACAGGCCTGACTATAATAAAATTAGAATAAAATTAAAGCTAAAATCTACAAAGCATTAAAGAAAGAATATCATGACTCAACTTCATTATTTATAATGAGAATTAACAGTAGCAAGACTGGAGCTGTAGCTCAGTGGTACAGTGCTTGCCTGGCATGCGTAAGAGCCCTAGGTTCAAGTCCCAGCACTGCCAAACAAAAATAAAATAAAACAACAAAAAAATTCCTAGTTGGGCATGATGGTGCACACCTGTAATTCTAGCACTTGGAAGGCTGAAGCAGAAGGATCTTAAGTTCAAGGCCAGTATATGCTACAGAGTGAGACCCTGTCTCAAAAAGAAAAAGAGCTAAGCAATATGGTAGAGGCTTGGAGTCCCAGCACCAAGGTGGCTGAGATAAGAGCATCTTATGTTGAAGGCCAGACCAGGCTACATAACTATATAAGAAGGAAGTGGTGGTTCATACGTGTAATTCTTACTACTCAGAAGCAGAGATTGGGAAGCTCGTGGCTCTAGGCCAGACCAGGGAAAATATAAGCAAGACTTCATCTCAGCAAAGAAGCCAGGCAGTGGTGGCTCATGCCTGTCATGCCAGCTATGCAGAAAGCACTGTAGTCCTACTCTGGCCCCCAGCAAAAAAGCAGGAGACTTACTAAAACTTACTAAAGCAAAGAAGGACTGGTAGCCTGGCTCAAATGGTAGAGCATCTGCCTAGCAAATGCAAGGACCTGAATTCAAACCCTAGTACTGGGGAAAAAAAGAACAAGAAAGAAGGAAAGAAAAAAGAAAAAAGAGATGCCAGTGGCTCATGCTTGTAATCCTAGCTACTCAGGAGACAGAGATTAGGAGGGTGTGAAGACAGCCCAGGCAAATAGTTCACAAGACCCTATCTCAAAAAACAAACAAAAAAAAAAAATCACAAAAAAAATGGGGCTGGTGGAGTAGCTTAAGGTGTAGGTGAGTTCAAACCCCAGTACTGCAAAAAAAAAAAACCAGTAGCAACAATAGAGGTTACAATACAGTACTCTATTTTTTTCTCTCATATTTTAAATCTTTGCTGCAAATACAATTTTTGAAGGTAGGGGAAGGAAACTGTACATAGACAGTAACTGCCTAAAAGGACCTAAAATGTCTAAGCGATGATAAATTGTTTTTACATATGGAAGTAGATTTTTCTACACATCAGCAAAATGATATAGCAACAGAATTTCTTCTCGTATTATTTAGCTATCAGAGCACAAATAAGGGTCTAATTAAAATTAAAGAAAGAAATGCTTAAATTTTCCTAGAACAGCTCCAGACCATTCCACTGAAGGTGTACCACTCTCATCAATAGGGCTTTAATGAAACTAAGTATCTGACTAAATAAATTACAAAAAAATAACCTTTCATAAACTGGAGACAATGGGGTGTATGAAGGAGAATGAATAAATATACTTGTTAGATGTACTCATTATTATTAATACCTATAAATACTTTACAAATACTGTAAATAATGTTTTCTCGCAGAAGATTCACAATCTTTTTTATAAGGAGCACCTCACTTGAAGATTAAAATGCAGCAAAAAAAGGAATCGAAGGAAGACAGGCAGAAATGAGAACAAAGGTTGGGGTACTAAGCTTCTCTCTCACAGCCAATCTGACCTTAGGTCAAAGCAAGAAAGGCATGCCTAGAACAGGGACCTCCAACTCCAAGCTTACCTGTGCATACTCTCTTTCAATTGCAGCTTTCTTCTGACTGAATGTCCTAAAAATACAAATGAAAATCAATTACCAAAAGTACAACTTAACAACTTCATGTAAACTTATCAACCACCTTCAAATACTACCTGATAAGATGTGTGAAAGAAAGAATAGGAATATTTTATTTCTCTTTACAAGTTTAGAAATACTGCTAACAGCATAGTTGTCTGCAGTTAGATGACCCACATTCAAAGCCCAGTTCTATCACTGCCAGTATGATCTCAGAGAAGTCCTTTAACTTCGACATGCCTCAGTTTCCCCCTCAGTAAATGCTGATAATAATAGTACTCACTTCATAGAGATATTGCAAAATTTAGTTTTCTGACATATACAAAGGGCTCAAAATAGTGTCGAGTACATAATAAATCCTATATAGATATAAGCTACTGTTATGAGAATGGTCATTATATAGTACCTACTAAAAATGTTTTCTGAACTTAACAGCCAATATAGACAGAACTGCAGAAAACAAAGTGAAAATCAAATTTATGATCAGCTTCTCAAAGAGAAAAATGGTCAAATCATTTTCTTTACTCCAGTTTTTTATAAAAGTTACAGTACAATGTAGAAGTATAATTCAAGAGGCTGAGGCAGGATGATTACTTAAACCCAGGAATTCAAGATCAACCTAGAAAACATAGCAAGGCCATATCTTTCAAATAAGAGAGAAAAAGTGGGAAAGGGGATGGGAAAGCACTAGAATAGAAAACAAAAACAAGAAGCCAAATTATCACTTGGAAATTAAATAAATTAACCAATATGACTGTGGATTCAGAAATGCAATTATTTAAGATCTTACTATGATTTGTTTTGAGTGAATAATCCCTTAATATTAAAAATAGCAAAAGGAAAAAGTCTCACTTTAAAGATTCATGCATATTTAAAAGTGCTTTAAAAAAACCAATTATATAAACATAAGGTTCTATATAATAAATGTCTCCATGTATTCAAGAGTTAATAAGGGCAGAGGATTCTGGAAAGACGGTGGGTAAGAAAGCACCAGGAATCTGTTGCCATCCTAGACCACAATGGCACTGATGATTCTGTCTCAAAAAGAACCCTGTCCTTAAAACATTAAGGATGTGTACTCTAATCACAGATTGCCACTGCTGAACACAGGAGTGCAGACAAAGAGGGGCTAACCATGCTTGAACCTCCCTCACACTGATGCAAGTCCCTCTTTCTTTGGCTGAAGTGGCTTTCAGAGAATTTAAGGTAGGCACGTTAATTTCATTCATTTTTCTCTTCTTCCCCTTTGGGAGCCAGGTATTGAAGGTAAGAACTCAGAAGTCGCTGCATATCCAAGGAAACTGGAAAAACATTGCACATAACCAGGAGAAGGTACAGGTTCAGAATAGAGCTGAGAAGACCTCATGTTAACACCTCAAGCCAGTCCTCAGCACATAAAAGACAGCAAACTCTAGGGAAGGAGATTTGCAGACTTACTACATTACTACTTTCAAATTCCAGTTTTCAACAAAAATCATAAATTTTACAAAGGCCCAGAAAAAGAAAAAAATAATAAACCAACATAAACTGTCCTTGAAAAATACCTGAGAGTACATCTAGCAAAGACTTAATTGACAAACTCTTACATAGATTTACTTAGAGGAAAATAAAAAAAGAATCCCAAAGATTCTAACCAAAAAAAATTCAAATTACTAAAATCAGAAATGAAAATGGTAAATGCTAACAATTCCATAGAATAAAAAACTGTAAGAATGTGCTACAAACAACTATGTGCCAACAAAAAGGATAAACTAGATTAAATAAAAAAGAACTTTCTCAAAAGAAGAAATTCAAATGGCCAAAAAACACATGAAAAAATGCTCACCACCTCTAGCCATAAAGGAAATGCAAATTAAAACCACACTAAGATTCCACCTCACCCCTGTTAGAATAGCCATAATCAAAAACACCACCACCACCATGTGTTGGTGAGGATGTGGGGAAAAGGGAACCCACGTACACTGCTGGTGGGAATGCAAGCTGGTGCAACCACTCTGGAAAAATTTTGGAGGTTTCTTAAAAATCTAAATATAGACCTGCAGTATGATCCAGTAATCCCACTCCTGGGGATATACCCAAAGGAATTCAACACAGGTTACTCCAAAAGCACCTGCACACCCATGTTTATTACAGCGATATTCACAGTAGCCAAGTTATGGAAACAGCCAAGATGCCCCACTACTGATGAATGGATCAAGATTGTACACAATGGAATTTTACTCAGCCATGAAGAAGAATGAAATCTTATCATTTGCAGGTAAATGGATGGAACTAGAGAACATCATCCTGAGCGAGGTTTGCCAGGCTCAGAAGACCAAAAATCTTATGTTCTCCCTCATATGCGGACTTTAGATCTAGGGCAAATCCAGCAATGTGATTGGACTTGGATCACATGACAAGGGGAGAACACATACTGGAGATATAGGAATAGGGAGAAAACCCAAAACATGAAAGCATTTGATGTCCCCACTCCAGAGGAACTAATACAGAAACCTTAAAGCGACAGAGGCTAACATGAGAAGGGGATCAGGAATCAGTGTAAGGATCAGTTAGAGATGAATCAACATGGGCTATAACACATTTGTACATGAAAGCAATGCTAGGAATCTTTCTGTATAGTTATCCTTAACTCAACTAGCAAAAACACTTTGTCTTCCTTATTATGCTTATGTCTTTTCTTCAACAAAATTAGAGGTAAGGGCAGTTCAGGTTCTGCCTGGAAGTGAGGAGGGTAGGGGGAGAAATGACCCAAACAATGTATGCACATGTGAATAACTGAATAAAAAACTAGATTAAATAAATTCCTAGAAACACAAAACCTACTAAGGCTTCACCACAATAAAATAGAAAATCTGAACAGACTTATAACTAGGATTAAGTAAGTAATCAAAAATCTCTCAGCAAAGGTAATCCCTGGATCTGGCCTCACTGGTAAATTCTACCAAACATGTAAAGAACTAACATTAATTCTTCTTATACGTTCCAAAAAATTGAAAGAAAGGAAAACTGTCATTCTTTGGGCCAGCATCATGCTGACATCAAAGACATAAAAAGACAAATATAAGAAAAGAAAATTGCAGACTAATTTCCTTTGTTAACATCGATGGCAAAAATCCTCAATATAAAACCAGCAAACCAAGTTCAGTATATTAAAAACACTATACATCAAGATCAAGTGGGATTTATTCCTGGAGTGCAAGGATGACTCAGCATACAAAAAAATTGATTGGTGAAGAGGTAGGATAAAGGAGAACGGTGGAGGGATGAATTCAAGTATGATATATTTGATATAAGAACTTTTGTAAATGCCACAATGTACCCCTAGCACAAGAAAAGTAATAAATAAATAAAATTCATCATTACAACAAAATGAAGGGAAAAACCACATGAGTAGGCCTGGGTGTGGACCTCAGTGGCAAAGCACCTGCCTAGCAAGCATGAGGGGCTATGACAAAAAAAAAAAACAAACACTCAACTGATGCAGAAAATGTATTTGACAAAATTCAATACACTTTCATGATAAAAACACTTACAAACCAGAAATAGAAGCTGTACATGAAAATCCCACAAGTAACATCATATTTAATGATAAAAGACTAAGACTAAGATCAGAGGGAAAGAACACCCACTTTTGCCACTGTTATTCAATGTAATGCTAGAATCCTATTAAGAGAGAAAGAGCAATTAAGCAAGAAAAAAAAAAAGACATCCAAATTGAAGCAGAAAAAGTAAAATTATCTCTCTTCACAGATGATACAATCTTATTTGTAGAAAACCTTCATGATTCCACAAAATACCTATTAGAGTTAATGAATGAATTCAGCAAGGTAAAAGGATACAAAGTCAACATATAAAATTCAGTTGCTTTTTATTTGGCAATGCTGGAGATCAAATCCAGGGCCTTCAGCATGCTAAAGCAAATCCTCTACCACCGAGCTATATCCACAGCCCTCAGTTACATTTCTATACACAATGAAACAACCAAGAATAAAATTAACAAAAAGTCAATTTAAAACAGTATAAAAAAGAATGAAATACTTAGAAATAATCTTAAACAAGAAGGTGAAAGACTTCAACAATGAAAGTTATAAAAATAATTCTGGAAAAAACAGATGAACATATAAATGGAAAGATGTCCCATATTCGTGGATGGGAAACTTCTTGTTAAGACATCAACACCATCAAAAGCACTCTATAGATTTAACACAATCTCTACAAAAATCCAGAAATGGCTTTTGCAGAAATCAACAAACTCATTCTAAAATTGCTATGGAATCTAAGGGACCTCCAAATAGCCAAAATAATGCTAAAAAAGAGGAACAAATCTGGAGGACTCACATTTCCTTATTTCAAAAATCACTACCAAGCTACGGCAATCAAAACAGTGTGGTACTTGCATAAGGACACACATACAGACCAACAGAACAGAATAAAGAGCCCAGAAATAAACTTATGTATACACAATTAGTTACTACATGAAGAATGCCCAAACAATACCAGGAAAAGATAGTCTTTTCAATAAGTGACCTTAAGAAAACTTGTATCAACATGCAAAAATGACCCTTACCTAATACTGTAAACAGGAAACCAAATCAAATAGATCTATGGCCCACATGTAAGACCTAAAACTATAAACTCTTAGAAGAAAATAGGGTAAAAGCTTCAGGATGTTGGATTTTGCAATGATTTCTTGGATATGACACCAAAGGCACAGGGAACAAAAGAAAAAATAAACAAGACTTCATGAAAATTTTTTAATTCTGTGCCTCAAAAGACACTAAACAACACAGTAAAAAGAATGAGAGAAAATAATTGGAAATCACAGCTCTAGTAACATCCAGATTATACAGAGCACTCCTAAAATTTAGCAAAGGACATTTCTTCAAAGAAGATATAAAACCAGCAAGTACATGAAAAGATGCTCAACATTGCTAATCATCAGGGATATGTAAATCAAAACTATAATAAAGTATCACCCTTTTGTACTGTTGGAGG